CTTGCTGCAAAGAACAAGAAGCAAATTGGAGAAATGCAGAAAGCCTCGCAGCAAATATAGCTTGGACAGCGCTACCAAAAGAAACCAAGAAAAGAACCAACAAAGAATCCTTGAAACAAATACTTTGGGGTAAATCAAGAGAAAAAACCTTCAAAGCAAGATCCAGAGCAATCAAAAGTTTAGTCCAAGAGGAAATAGCAGAGGAAATCCAAGACGTCCTCCAATCTAGTACTGATGCCAAGACATATATTGAACTCGTATTAAATACAATGTGGAATTGCTTTTACGAAAATATCTGGAAAAAAAGTTGTGAGCTTGTAAGGAGCTAGGAAGTTAGCCAAGGTATTCTAACCAGAGACAAGCGAAGAACCAAGACCCGAATAGAAAGAAGAAATATGGAACCAGATGCTAGTGTTACAGAATCAAAAAGAAGAGGTTTAAGGAATAATATTGATGAAAAAGAAAAAATGAAAAAAAAGAAAGAAAAAGAGGAGGGTAAAAAAAATATAGAAAACCATTGGTTTGTTAGCTTTAAAAACTTAATTCAAAATAGTTGCAGGCCTTTTTGGTATGGCTTGCATGGCTAACCTGGTATTAGCCTTCTGGTCTTAAAAATATTTTTGACCAGTGTAGCAGACCGCTTCTGGGCATCCAAGAGGTAGCCAGGGGATGTCGGGCCTAAATATTAAGCTCAACATTATATAATATATTTGTATAATAATCTTAGTAAAGGATCACCGGCAAGGTTGCCAAAGAATAAAAAAAAAAAAAAAAAAAATTGCTTTATATATTTAGTTGGTTTTCTAAACGTGCTTTTTATTGGAAGGTTTTTTTTGGTACTTTTTATTTTTTTATTTTTTTTATATTTATTTCTTTTTGATTTTATTTTTTTTTTTTAATTTGTACAATAGTATGTCTTTGGATTATAGGATCTTGATTGCATTTGAAATGATTACTTTTGGTATTGAGTTGTTGGGATTTCGTATGTAGTAATGCATTTATTAATGCTAATTTATTTTTATATAATAAAAATCATTTATTAGTTTCATAATAAAGTATTTTTGTCGATTCGATTAACCAATAATATTTATACGATATCACAGGATGATCTACAAAAATCAGCCAATTATTATGAAAGCCCACTATACTAGTGTAGGAAATCTGTTTTGAGATTTATGTTCTCATGAGAACATGTTTATTTAATTTAATGTTCTCAAAAATTTTTTTATGTTCTCAAATAAAAAATCTCTCTCTCTTTCTCTCTCTTTCTCTCTCTTTTTTTCTCTTTCTTTTTCTCTCTCTCTCTTTCTCTTTTTCTCTTACTTTTTTTCTCTCTCTTTCTCTCTCTCTTTCTCTCTCTCTCTCTCTCTCTCTCTCTCTCTTTCTCTCTCTCTCTTTTTCTCTCTCTCTCTCTCTCTCTTTCTCTTTCTTTCTCTCTCTCTCTCTCTCTTTCTCTCTTTCTTTCTCTCTTTCTCTTTCTCTTTCTCTTTCTCTCACTCATTCACTTACTGCACTTACTGATAGTGTTTTAAATTCAATTTAATTATTTTGCAAATCTTTGAATCTGAACTAAACTTTAAATTTATATATCTGAACAATGATTTATATATATATTTTTACATATAGAACAAAATTACTTAAAGCATGAAGATAAAATTAATTAGTAAAGTTTGAGAATTTATTATTTTCATAATTTTATTAATAAAATTATAAAAAATATTATAATTTTCAAAATTTTATCT